TACCATACGAATAAAATCAAGGTGCCTGCGACTGGGAACAAGAACGCAAACGGCACTAGAAAAATTCTCCACAGAATGAAAGATAACAGAATGGGCGCAAGAGCCAAACTCTCGCTCAACTGCCCTAGTTTGTAGCATTTTGTCTCTCAGAATGAAAGACTTAAAAGTGGTCACACAATGTTTTCGGATTAGTCCCAATTGTTAGAATCAAGCGATGTTTATGAGCATGCAGCCAGATGTGCACAGAAACTTATTCGTTTGTCTCCATCCGCCATTTCCATTTTACGGCTGGAAATGCACAAGGGTCTGCACTAGCAGGTGAAAATTCGCCTACCCGATCGTCCGAGCGGAAAGGCGTCGGGATATGGAGCACTTCATTCAGTGGACGGAGGAAACAAGCGGAGAGTGGTTGACCTGCGAGGGAGGGAGGAAAAAAAGAGGAGCGACCTTGAGTGGGTGCCAAGTACAAACGCACCCCCACTTCCCTCCCAAGAACGATGGGTCCACTGGGCTGGTTTCCAGAGTGTCAAGGGTGTTCCTGTTTTACCGAACTGTGACTCATTAATAAGGGAGAGAACATTATGTTATATGGGACAGTAAGTTCTACTGCTTCGTTCATTATTAATGAAATGCATCATAGGTTTCGGCCAGTCCGGATCAGAAAGTTGAGTGTCTTGTACAGGTGGTATTGCGGATATGTTAACAGAGTGGTTAGCTGATGTTGGAAGGAAAAGTGCCAAGATCGCAAAACCCGGGCGCTTCAAGGCGATCTACTGCTCCTCAAGAGCACGAACGAGAGAAATTCTGTCAGAAACGATAATTGTAAACAAATACACATTCAACACAGTGCTCAACAACATACTCGAAAATGTGTGGTCATTGATTTTTAAATTCACGAAGCAATTTGCACGTGCACTTGTAACGTTCATCTAGTCCGAAAGAAGTGAAATGCCCCACGGCACATTACACATGTACATCCCTTTTCAATTCGAACACATGATTAGACTACATCAGTGAGTGATACAAATATTAAGAAAATAAAGAATTTTGTTGTTACCAAAAGTAATCAAATACTAGAAAAATGTACATTTTTACAATAAATTATCACCATTACTTACTATTTGCGCAAGGCTTGAAATGCGAGAAATCATATGTAGAACTCATTTATTCAATAAGAGAAAATACAGAATTGGGTTACGACAAAATTTCACCTCCTCAAAGTCGGTTTCCTCGTATCATTCACATTTTCGTTCTCCTATTTCTATTTCTTCTTCTCCTTACTAAATTGTTTCTCCTTTTCCTTTGCCTCCTCATTCGGAGTCTCTTATCCTCTTTCACCTGTTTCTTTTGCTATTTTTGTTTCTTTTCTTCTCCTCCACTTCTTTTTCTTTTTATATTCATATTTCTCTTAATTTACTTATCTTAATATATTAATGTGAGCTGTTAAGACAGGTAGAACGCGTCACGCAGGTTGCCTAATACCATAAAACAATAGCCAGCTAAATTCATCAACATTTTATCCGCAAACTAAAAAAACAGTTATTGTTACTGAAAAAGTAGAACTGTAACTCATAACGTAACGTAACGTAACGTAACGTAACTCAGAACTTTTAACGTAAACATATTTTAATCGATAAATACTGGTAAAAAATATTTCACTTCTTGCCAGATTAAGGGGAAAAGTCACGTTAAAATACGAAGTAAAGTAAGTACAGCACGTATTTTTATGCCTACTGATCGGAAAAACATCATATCGCAGAAAATGAAATAAGGTATGTTAGTGCACAACATCAAGCAAACCCAGGCAATGATATCCCGAACTTCAAGATCGGACATTTGGGTCAAGACGAAAGACAAAAGAAAGAAAGAACAAAGTGAAATTACTAAATTCCGTGGTGCCTTAAGTGTAGGCGGGATTTCAGGATACTTCACTGCCGCAAAGATATTAAATACATAATGTAATAAATGTATTAGGTCGTTGGATGTTACACAACAGTGAGGGAGTCGTACGAGAGCTATCCGCCAGGCTGCAGCGAGGGCAAGAGGAGTAGAACCGGGGAGGGGAGTAGAAGATGTAGATAGGGATGCGACATCGACTACATAATATCGATGTTTCTAAACATTTTTGTTCATAATTAAAACATCGAAGTTTAATAGTACATCTCCTCAAAACCATCGACGTTGTTAAACACAAGGGTGTCAGAGAACACTCAATTCGCCGTAGATTGGTACGTGGAAAGAAAGGAAGCTCAACACACATGCCGCATAAACTGAGACTTATCATCAGTTCATACGATGGTGGAACAATCATTGGATTTAATAAATAGATGTTTAAATCATTGAAGTTTCCATAAAAATATCGATGTCGATGTCGCATCCCCGGCTGCAGTGCAAGTGCACTGAAGGCGGCGGCAAACGCCTTCAAGCGCGCCTCGCCCGGGCGCTGCTAGCCTTGCGATCCCTTCCGCGTTCCTCTTGGCCTGCGCGGCGCGGCTCGACCCGGCCCGGCCCCACGCGCCGCCCCGCGCCTGCCTGCGCTCGGACAGCTCGCAACGATACGTACGTCATAAAACTATCAATATTCATACAAATATTCAAATACTAGGGAAATTTGCCATATTTATCAACTGCTGCTTCTCCAAAAGCTCCTAAAATTGTGAATTTGCTTTATCTAAAGTGGCGCACTTAAAACACGGAGTCCAAATCACAATGAAGGCTCGGACCATTAGGTAAATACTTATTTCTCCCTTAATCTTGGGCGTCGAAAGTTTTGTGGAAATTGAAGAAGCGCCTCATAGATTCCATATACCAAATCTTCTATCACTTAAAAATAAATAATTAGGTTAAGTTCCATAAAAATAAATATTTTCGTCGGAACAAATATTATTTCCCTAAATTTTATATGAATAAATGAATATTTTGAGTATTTTCAAGTTTAATACTTGGGAGTTTTTGGATGTATGGCGAAAGACACGCCAGTTTGTAATGCAGTGGTTAGTCACACATCACATGTTGCTATAGGACTTCCCCGATTGAGTGGAGTGGGTTTGGTTCACGACCTATCAAAACGTCTGAACGCCATTTCTAACACCGTTGTCGATTCAGGCAATGGCACTCCGTGCGGTAACGTGCTCACAACACGAGCTCAGAGACATTCTCCGATTGCACAAACAACATATGGAGAGTGATGAAGACTACGACGTTGCAATTACTTCGAGACTCTCTCGGTCTTGGTTACTGGTCTTCACATGGGTAGTAAACACATATTTTCGTTCTGGGACATTTTCCCTTTTTAACCCACATAACGAAATAAATATTTTTTTCTGTTTGCTGGCACCTACATATCCAAGTCCTCATCATAAATTTGCTGTGCACCTTAATAACAAGTTCATTTCGTGACGTTCTCAATATCACGCAACGCAAAAGGCATGCGCTGCAGCCTCCCACAGATTCCCACGGCTCCGGACGGCACGCGACCTTCCCATGACCTCCTGCAAACCTCTGAGATTCGCGCCGTTTTTCGCAGCGAAACAAAACATCACGACAATGAAGTGACAGATCGTAATGAACACTTGAGAGATTAAACTCCAATCTATCATACTCATAAATTGCACGCATTTTGTTCTCAGTAATCACGAAGACTTAATTGGTGAAATAAGCCTAGTCAACGTTTCAAGCTATGGAGACACTATAAAGTACATCGTATCCTAGAACCAAACTATAAAATGCGACGTTTGTGATCAAGGCAAAAAGAAATGAAAGAGGCAAAGAATTTCGAGATACACAGTATTGAAGCAATGGAGACTGTAGTTAACATTGTTCGTATTTCCATGTAAAAAAGTAAAATTAATGTATACCAGCATTCTGCGAATTACCTTTAAATAATAATCATGCAAAATGCATAGATGAATAGAATACAAAATTCTACTCACACCTTGAAAATATCAAAGATGCACTGCATTATTGATGTGCAATCGTACTGAGTGATTGTCACATCATGGTTAACCACATGTAGACACGCGCCATCAGTCACTTCCGCAAAGAAGAATTCCTAACCTTCGACAGAAATGTTATAACTAAACCAACCATCGTAGGACTCTTCGTATACGCGAGTTGGTGGAAGTAGAAAATAACAATTTTTTCAACGAGAAAGTTCAAAGGTAGCAACAATGTATTTAAGAAAAGCTTAGCATGTTTCTATTGTGTTCAATTCCACACCCAGTAATTTCATTAAGAATATGTGACGGAGGTGGATTACTCCACGGGGAAAGCTCCTCCATTCCGTTTCGAGCAACTATTTAAGGTTCATTTCAAATTAATATCAATGATGACTTATTTGTGGCGAGACCCAGGTCATTAGGCCTGCTTTTCCGATTGACCACGCGCTCATTTCCCTACGCTGCTTTCCGCATCTAGCGGAGAAAGAAGGTATCACTCGGGCGACGAAACAGGCGATTTAAATTTAGCACAGAGGCTTCTTGTACATGCAGTAAATCTACAACGTGAGACAGCCGACTTTACTTCCACTCCGAAGGAAGGCGTATGAAGGAATTTTCACCCTTAAAAATGCACGACTTCGATCAGATTTAAACCCGTCAACTTGAGTATAACAGCCCGACACGCCAACAGGTATATCACCGAAACAAATGAACATCAAGTAGGACGATGTATTTCCACGGGTTAGCGAAGTCATTTAGAAATGAGTTAACTCTACACGAAATTAATGACGAATTGAGTACATGGTTATAACCCGCAGTTATGATCCTAGCAGTAGCCCAGCAATACATGTAAAAGCGGTCCCTAATAGTAATCACTCTATACCACCAAGATTAACGATAGATTTAAGAGCATAGTTTTCAAAAATATTATCCCGGTCTGTTGCTACCTCGGAGCAAATCGGCAGCGAGCGAAGCCGCCAGCGCCAGGGCAGCCGCGGCCCACGCGAGCGCAACACGTCTAGCAGCCGGTGACGTCAGCCCCACGGCGCAGCGTAGCGCAGCACAGCGCCCGTGCGGCTCCGGCGCTTCCCGCTGCCTCTGCGCGCACGCAGCGCCAAGGTGACTCCCAAGGCCGAATACCCCACCGCTTCCACGCGGACAACATGGCGGATCAAGACCACGAAACGAGTTGCACTCACAGGTGGGTAATACGGCTCTCATAGCAAATGCACAAAACCCAGATAAACAAAACGTAAAACAGTGGTCCAAATTGCGGTTCTTCGAAGTTGCAATACCTCAGTGTTTTTGTAAACGTCCGTTTGATACTTCGATTTAAATAGAGTGACTTCTGGTGTACGATCAGCTGGACGCGGTTATCTAGTCGGGAGCTTCGTTGCGACTTACGTTTGGTACATGAAGCTCCCAATTGGATAACCGCGTCCCAGCTGATCGTACGTCAGAAATCACTCTACTTAAAATCGGAGAATAAAGCTTCCGCTCAGTCAAAGCTAATATCGCATTCATGTGTGCCTAAAGCATAGTATTCGAGCAATGCGAAGTTATACCCTTATTATACCTTGACAGGTCTTCCACGGGACGGATATTGCGTAACGGGGAGTTTATGTAACTACGAATAAACTTCTGTACATTAATCCCTCAACCGGTTGAACGTCATTGGAAACAACTATAATTGACGTTGCAATCACACCAGTGTATCGCTGCTTTTGAGAGTGCACACTGTGGGCGTATCCATTCCTTAGGTCGCTAGTCCTGAAGGTATGGAATGGTGTATAACAGGAAGTACCTATGTTCCTCTCCCACTGAAATTCGGCGCCGACTTAAGGCTTGTGGGGTTTTCCCACTCTAGGTATCTCTCCATCAGGGCACCGCCCAACCGGGACAAGATCTAAGCTCCTGACATGTAAGGTACTGTATGTATAAGGGGAGAGGCGGGAACAAGGAAGAGGAAAAGAAGAACCGGTCCATGGCCCCTTCATTTAAAGGTACTGTTTCCGTTATTCGCGTAGTATTATTGATTTGCGAAACCACGGAAAAATACCGATCAGAACCACTTCAGTCCAGACGACGGCAATGAACCACATCACCCCCAGCCGAGAGGGGGAGGGAGTGAATTGTAGGAAGCGGCGGTGTGCGTGGGCAAGAGCGAGGGCGTGGGCGATCCGCGATCCGCTAGGTGACGAGGTCAGCGGCGGCAGGAGCGGGATCTCAGCATCCGGAGGTGCGACCTCGCCCCGCGACGCCTAGGAGGGCTTAGGAAGCATTGACACCTTCGGGAGTGGGTG